CCCCTTAGCCGTTATAAATTCACTGTAAACCACGGCTTCACGGGGCTTATTGCTTTTATAAAACGGTTATTCCATATACGTTGTAAGGTTTCACAAAATAAAACGGAGCAAATAAAGTGTAATGATATTAATAAAAACAGTATTCTTCCACCAAACAATGTAGTTCCTCAGAATCAGTTGTGGTTCCAACAAAGTGGTTGCCGAGCAACAGACAAACGTAAACAAAGGTGTATGTTTGTAGAGTAATTTACAACAGCTTCGAACGTGGCTCAACCAATCAGAATCAAGCACCGGAACTCTCCGTTTTATAAACATTCATTATTGTATTATTTCATCATGATGAATAAGAGGAGGGTTGCAGCTTCTTTATGACCAGTTTGAAAGTTCTGTGTGACTTCCACTAGGAGGCAAAATACGACAATCCCCATCCCCCACTTTCTCCCATTCATGAGTGCACCATCTTTGTGCTGGCAGCCGTTCGCATCGAGGTGACTAACAATGAACAATACTCTCACAACATTTAGAAATTTAGTTTACTCTTAATTTACATATACACTAATATGTATTACTAACGTATTATCAACAAAGATTAATTAAATAAACGAACAATAGTATAAACCTTGATTAAAATGCTTTAAAAGTGTTGTTCACAGTTTATGTCATGAACCTGTAATAGTGCATGCATGTTAGAATTAAGTGCTTTTTCCCCTAAAAACAATAGTAGTATGGAGCGCTCTAATTAAATATGGAGCCATTCGGTATTTGGTCTCATGTCCGGTTTGACTACAAAGATGACATTTATTTTGACAATATTGGTGAATAGCAATTACATTTCTGTCTGTTCTGAGTCTGGCAGAGCTCATCGTGCGTTATGCTTGTCAAGTGCCGGCAGGTGCTCTATTATACTGCAGGCCACTTGACTTGCCGGTAATGAGGCAGGCGGGCTTATTACTCTGACATGGCTAAGTACCACACACATTCTTCCCCACACACCAGCATCATTTCTGCTCAGAGTCAAACCATTCATCTGTTTGATTAAGTACACACATAAACGTAGCAGCTGGTAGATTGACCTTAACACAATTGTTTGAATTCAAAGGCAGCAGGTTTCTATTGCAACTCTTAAAATGTTGTCATGTTGTCATCTAGTTAATGGATGATTCAGGAAAAACTGACAGCTGTCATTAGCCTTTCAGTGTAATAAGACTATTCAGCATCAAATGCATAATATTATTTATTCTTGGGACCTATAATACAATCGTAAAAACTTGTAGGCACACATGATGTCTATACAGGCATTTCATCAAAACAATATTACATTTTATATACGGAACTCCTACTGTATAACAGAAACCCACTGTAAGCTTTGGGACTGAGCATCCATAATAGCTACACATGGCCATCAATTCTCATTAGCAACATTTGCACAGATTCAAGTTAAATATGGCATTAACGGTCTCCAGTACTCTAATATAGTTAATAAACAGCTGTTTACACCACTCTAACCAGACAAGTGAGGTTCAATACAGTATAGCACTTGAACTTGATTACAAGACCTGTCATGCTAAAAATATATAATTACAAAATATATATCACGCTCAAAAGCACTTGCTGATATTTCACTAAATATGTGTAAACACATGTACAGTTGATAGCTCGTGTTAGTGCACTCGAAAAAGCACTACTGCCAGTTATTAGTCATTTTGTCAGCAGTTAATATTATTCAAAAATGAAACTGATTTTCTTACTTAGTATTTTTGTCTTGTTTTCTATTACAAATATCTCAACATTCTTGAATCAAGATCCATTTACTTGAGACGCAAAATGACTTAAGACATAAAGTCTTGTTTTTTTTTTTTTTAAGTTATCAAAAATGTGCTCAAAAAGAAGTAATAATATTTTAAATAAAAAGGTAAAACAAGATGTTTGTACTAAAAAAAACGACAAGAATACTAAGATTTAAAAAAAACAAATTTTGCAGTGCAGTTTTCATTTAAGTTTTACAATTAATTAATGTTTATTGTGAATTTAGCTGATCTTTCCTTTCATGCTACATTATCCCTTGATACAAATACTGTACTAGGAAAATAGTCAACCCCCTTTTCAAAAAGCACATTTCTAAACTCCTTAATAGAAAAAAAGCCTAAGAAGAAAACTATAGCCTAAGCTTTAAATCTAAGGCATATGGAAGTAAATAAAACTACAGCAGCCTTACTTAAATCTTTGATAATAAATTGCACAACTAACACAGCAACAACCATTTAGCTTATTTTGGTTGACTACTACCTTCACTACTGGCTGCATGTCTTTACATGTTCCCATTCAGCTGATATATGCGATCATACCATATACTGCCATATATGATGTATTTGTTATAATGTACATTAATATGCTGTAGCCCAGCCTGTGCTGTAAGGACTGATTTACTGCTTTTTGAAATGTCATATGCAATTGTTAGTCTACATTATTGGTAAAAGAAAGGGTATTAGTACTGTCATTGGGTTCATGCACATCAGCCCGTCTTTTTTGTGATCTACAACAAACAGGTTGGTTACTAAAATCTGGTGCAAACCTGCAGCGGCATCACAATCACACCTGTGACAAGCTAGAGAAGTTATGTAATTAAAACGATAACTTCATAAATTCTTTAGGTATTTCTCCACAGGAAAACGTGTCAGAGCTAGAATTTCTGAAGTAACTAACTTTATAGTATAATCTGTAATATGTAAAAGAGCAGCCAGCATATTCTTCCAAAATGTTACTTTTGTGTTCCACAGAAGAAAGAAAAGTTTACCACGATTTTTGGAGTCCCACTGAATCCTTGTTCCTGTAAAAGTGTACCATGTGTCCAACATTCTTGCCTTCAGGTGTAAACAGTGTTAGCCAGAGCATCGTGAATGTGAAACCGTTTCGGTTTTCCAAGCACACTTTGGTTTTGGTTTTTCACATGACCACACATTTGCCTTTAAGCTTCTCGGCTCGCTTTTGCTGCTTGCTCTTCTTGCCGTCAATCTGAAGGCTTACAGTCCTGCGTTTCTCCAAATTAAGCAGCTCTTGAAAAAGCTCCTTAATGTTGTGATTTGTCTTAGCTGACGTCTCCATGAAGGCACACTTCCACCTCTTGGCCATGGCCTCGCCGTCACTGCTCTCCACTTCACGAGCGTTCATCTCGTCGTTCTTGTTGCCCACTAGCATGATTGGGATGCTCTCGATGTCCCCCTTAATCAGGCAGATCTGCTCGAAGATGGGCTTGAGCTCCTCCAGAGACTGTTTGCTGGTGATGGAGTACACTAAGATGAAGGCGTGGCCTTTGGTGATGGACAGACGCTGCATGGCGGGAAACTGGTGAAAATCTGGTGCAAACCTGCAGCGGCATCACAATCACATCTGTGACAAGCTAGGGAAGTTATGTCATTAAAATGACAACATTGGTTCTTTAGGCATTTCTCCACAGGAAATTGTGTCAAAGAACAAGTAAATAATTCCTGAAGTAACACATTCATAGTGTAACCTTTGAAATATGGAAAAGAGCAGCCAGCATAGTCTTCAAAGATGTTACTTTTGTGTTCCACAGAAGAAAGAAAAGTTTACCACGATTTTTGGAGTCTCACTGAATCCTTGTTCCTGTAAAAGTGTACCATGTGTCCAACATTCTTGCCTTCAGGTGTAAACAGTGTTAGCCAGAGCATCGTGAATGTGAAACCGTTTCGGTTTTCCAAGCACACTTTGGTTTTGGTTTTTCACATGACCACACATTTGCCTTTAAGCTTCTCGGCTCGCTTTTGCTGCTTGCTCTTCTTGCCGTCAATCTGAAGGCTTACAGTCCTGCGTTTCTCCAAATTTAGCAGCTCTTGAAACAGCTCCTTAACGTTGTGATTTGTCTTAGCTGACGTCTCCATGAAGGCACACTTCCACCTCTTGGCCATGGCCTCGCCGTCACTGCTCTCCACTTCACGAGCGTTCATCTCGTCGTTCTTGTTGCCCACTAGCATGATTGGGATGCTCTCGATGTCCCCCTTAATCAGGCAGATCTGCTCGAAGATGGGCTTGAGCTCCTCCAGAGACTGTTTGCTGGTGATGGAGTACACTAAGATGAAGGCGTGGCCTTTGGTGATGGACAGACGCTGCATGGCGGGAAACTGGTGACTGCCCGTGGTGTCTGTGATCTGCAGCGTGCAGATGCTCTTGTCGCAGCTGATCACCTGCCTGTAGGTGTCCTCGATAGTGGTGATGTAGCTCTCGCGAAAGGTTCCCTTCACGAAGCGCAGGACCAAGGAGCTTTTGCCCACTCCACCGGCTCCAAATACAACCACCCGGTAATCATTGCTTTGTTCTGGCATGGTGCTGCTCAAAATGACCTGGATGGGGGCAAACTGAAAGGAATGATTATGAAATACAAGTACAAACGGTGTACCATACCAGTGACAGCTTTGTTTTTTTCTGAGAGTGTACCAAAAGTTGGCAATTTAAAACACAGCATTTGCATCACTCCTAAACAAAAAAAATCAGCCAAACATCATATTACATACCTGTAAATGGAGCACTTTCTTATTGCCTTTGACATAACATGAATTCATGCATGAATGTTTCAGTATAGGGACTTTTCTACAAACACTTCTTGGATACAGTACAATATATTAAGCATATAAATCATGTAAGACTTTTAAAAATGAATGCAGTTCAAATCAAACTAACCTCAGCTTTTATATGAAATGTTTCAGTAGAGATACTGGCCAATGAGACCTCTGCCAGCCTGACATGCACGTTTCCCCTGATTAGTACGTTTCCCTTATTCGCTCAATACAGGAGCAGCATCTACTCAGTGAGCACATGGATGCGAGCAAAAACGGCTAGTGGAAATATTTGTATTTAATTTTATTTGGCAGTAAACTGACGCCGCGCTGTCGGATGGTGCAGGCAGGATGCGCAGAAAAAACAGGCAAGATAAAGGACAAGAGAAGCCAGCCGTGAACTGTGAGTACCACCTATACCTGCACCACTATATTATGCATAACAAACACGGTGTATTTTAAATAATATATCATGTATAAAAACAAAAGACTGTTCAAATTTAAGTCGCGGGTTTTGAACGGATGCGATTCTAAACTCACCTAGATGTTGATGATTAAAGACGTAATTCTAAATTCCTGTTGTCGTGTCGCGGTAGACGATGGAAATGATGGGATATGGGCTGTTTTTTTCCTGGGGGTTTGCGATTCCTCTAAAGATCCATCTGAGGCGTGACTGATATTTAAAGGGGCAGCGCTGACTGACTCTCTCCCGTTCTCTCCCCGTGACGTCACGAGGGATTTCAGCGTTTCTCCGCTGCTGCTGCAAAACACATGGGTCCATATGAACAGCCCTCATTTATGGTGTGTATTGCGCCAACATTCGGTTTTATGTTGTTTGTAAGGCATACAGACTTCGTTCATACTTTCTTTTGCACATTATTCAGCTTTAGTTGTGCCATCTGTGTCAAGTCACATTAAGGCTATTTATATAGCAGTGTATTCAATACAAATTGTTTCAAAACAGCTTTACACGGATGAACGATAAAATAACGATGCTAGGCTTTTTTTGTGAAGTTAAGAAATGTAAGATTAAAATGTACTGAATGTTTAACATTCAAAATATAAACACATAGCAATGGCAATATATGTGTCCCTGGAGCACAAAAGCAGTCATAAGTAGTGCAGGTATATTTGTAGCAATAGCCAACAAAACATTGTATGGGTCAAAATTGGTCATTTTTCTTTTATGCCAAAAATCTTTAGGATATTAAGTAAAGATCATGTCCCATGAAGATATTTTGTACATTTTCTACCATAAATATATCAAAACTTAATTTTTGATTAGTAATGTGCATTGCTAAGGACTTCATTTGAACAATTTTAAAGATGATTTTCTCAATATTTAGATTTTTTTGCACCCTCAGATTACAGATTTTCAAATAGTTGTATCTCAGCCAAATATTGACAAACCATGCATCAGTGGAAAGCTTATTTATTCAGCTTTCAGATGATGTATAAATCTCGATTTTAAAAAAATGGACCCTTATGACTGGTTTTGTGGTTCAGGGTCACATATTTGCATACTGAACTGTGATTGGCTTTATCTCTCCTGCATAGTCCTATATTTAACAATTCACAAGCTCCTTTGCACTGCAAAGTGTCTATGGCTGTTTACAAAACCTGAAAAATGTTGCCTTCTCTGAGGGGGGAAAAATACTCAAAATGTCCTACCCATGGGTTAAATGTAATTTTTATAATGTCAAGTTTCATATTGTCTGACTAATGTTTGAAGCAAAATACATTCTAAAACATAAGTAAACTGTAATCAAACCAGCTTGCATTCATACAGACAAGAACAACGCAACACATTTTTTGTAATACTGACCAGAAAAAAAAAAAAAAAATGTATTTATTTTTTACATATATGGTAACATATTTCTGTCAACCCTTTTTTTGTAATACTGTTACCAAATCAGACCAGAAAACTTGTGACCATGAAAACGTGTTTTTACGTATATTAGTATATGAAGGAGAGATATAATATACATTTGGAGCTGTGAGTTCATCATGCAGAAGCTGCTGCTGAATTCAGAAGCACATACCAGCAGCTCTGACCATTTCTTTCAGTGGCAAAAGTAGTAAGATTAGTATGCTAGTATTGGTATGTGTCTCATTTCGAAGGCTGCGCCCTCCGGGGTGCTGCATTTTCATCTACATACATAATTTATAGGCTGTCTCTTATCAGAAAAGCAACCATTATAAAATGGACTGTTATTCCTTTTTAGGCGTAAATTACTATGGAATATAATGGTGGTTACTTTTCTGAAATAATACAGCATCTATGACATGTGTGGCCAACAAATGCAACCTCCAGAGCCTTTGAAATGAAATACAGCTACGTACAGTCTTCAAAATAGGTCTGTAGGTCTAATGGCCGAGGCTTTTCCTCTTTCTTTCGAACATTTGCTCAGTATCTTGCAATGGGATGCCTCAGGCTGGTGATACACAGGGCAACTTTTTGAGCAATGTCGCCGGGCAACTTTAGGAAATATTGCCGTCAACGGGCAACCAGGTGAGACACAGAGCCCACGACCGATCTAAAGTATCCAGATAGAAATTTGTTACCCATTCTCAATGGGAAAGTGCCCAAGCAACATTACTCAAATTGCTCAAAATTTTGCCCCATGTATCATCAGCCTTAGAGAGTGAGTGAATTAGAGAGTGCATGAATCTGAAGTTTGAATTTCCATCAGAAATAGTAGACGATCTGGGTACCTTTGGGATACTCATTTGAACATACTATGATTTGGGACACTAATTATAATTTTGAATACAATATCTGACAGGTAGTATGCGAACTGGGATGCAGCAGCCACACAACTTTTTGGGATTTTACAACTTTACAGGAACATTGTGCTAATGCCTCACCGTAAAATTTGAAAGGACATTGATGACGTTTCATCAGAGTCTCTGAGTTGCGCAGGGATAGGTTGATGCTGTTATGAGCACGATGTTCTCGTCATTGACATTGGTTCCACTGGGTTTGGTCGGGATGAGAGATTTTTGGCAGTAAGTGTGTAAACGGTTGATCCCATCGTGAGACCTGTCCATGGTACTGAATCCCTTAACCTCCTTTTGAACTGCTGGAGAGCGTGAATATCAAGTTCTTAACCTTAAGGTTGGTTATATTCCTTGCTTTAGTTTCAGCCAAGTGGGTGAGTAACATGCTTTGTCTGTTCACCCAGAATATCTGAGCTTTAACGCAGACTTATAAGGGTATACAGTAAGGGTTTTGCTATTGCTTTCCTTTCGAAGGTCAGTGCTTTGTATTGAGGTACTGGAGTCAAGTGCCTTTTATATCTGCTGGAGATGTTTGTGTGATGGCAAGCTGGCTTTCTCTACACTTTTTATCAAATTAAAGGAATAGCTCACGCAGAAATGAAATTTTGCTGAAACGCCATCCAAGATGTTAGATGATTTTGTTTCTGCATTAAAATTTGGAGAAATTTGGCATCCAAACAGCTGATAAAAACATCACCATAATCCACAAGTAATCCGCAGCACTCCAGTCCGTCAATGAGCTGCGTGTTTGTAATAAACAAATCTATCATTAAGGCATTTTAAATTTAAACTGTTACTTCTGGCCAAAAACAAACAAAAAAACTCCATAATGTATAATAACGCTTCCTCCAGTAAAAATCTCCTGTTGTCTCTCACATCAAAATCCACCAACATATTTGTTTAGAGCTGTTTTGGGCTGTTTTCACTTGTAAACAGTGCTTGAGCTGTGCAGATTTCTCTCTTGATTCAAGCCAGACCCCTTTTTTACTAGAGGAAGCGTTATTATGGATTATGAACTCTTATTTAGCCAAACGCAAAGGTCTGAGGTTAAAAACATGCAGCTTTTGTCTTCTCAAGACATTAACTGATGGACTGGAGTGGTGTGGATTACTTGTGGATTATTGTGATGTTTTTATCAGATGTTTGGACTCTCATTCTGACGGCACCCATTCACTGCAGAGCATCCATTGCTGAGACACTGATGCAATGCTACATTTCTCCAAATCTGATGAAGAAACAAACTCATCCTAATCTTGGATGAGCTGAGGATGAGTCCATTTACAGGACATTTTCTTTTTTGGGTGAACTATTCCTTTAATATCCTGCTGGATGTCAATAGCTCATGCAGTTCCTGAAGTCGGTTCGCTAGAGAAATGAGAGGTTATCTGTCATTCTGTTCAGGTCTGTTTAAAGGCACCAGAAAGAATGCATTACGGGGGTTGGCCATACGTTTCCTATAGTGAGATGTTTGGAAGAGAATCTCTTCTGTTCTCATGGACCCCAGGTATGATCTGTATGTCAGACCTAAAATGGACTGTGTGCTACACTGTAAAAAAAATCCGTTAAATTTACGGTAAAATACCGGCAGCTTTGGTTGCCAGAACTTTACCGTGAAAAATACGGTAGCAACATTTTAGGTTTTACAGAACTGTTTAAATTTACAGTGAAAAACTGTATTTCATTAACTGATACAATGTTAATATGCAAACCTTTGAGTTAACTCATTTTATTTGCAGAAACCAACTGCACTTAATTTAGCCAATTGGCATTTGTTTACAAACTAATATATATAATGTTTAAATACTGCAAGTATACTGGTATTAAGAACTATTTTGCTTAAATCCATGAAGAAAAACCTACTGATTTATGCAAAGTCATTAAAAGCATCAATTCAACTCAAATCTCTTGCAGATAACAGCAGCACACATTCATGTGTGATTGAAATTATTGAAGAGATTCACACTGCATCAGTAACTACACGGTAGTTAAGTGTGTAACATATAACTAATACTCTTGAGTTGCACCACTGACACTACCGCAATCATTATGAAACTTGTCTAAACGGTGCTGTAGCTCTGAAGGTTTTGTGCATAAAATGTTTTTAAATTTCTTCACAATAGCTTGTCAACATATCTTGTGGAGTCATATTAGTACCATAAATTAAAAAAAGTAAAAAATCAACCCATATAATTAGACACTAATTGAGATCAGTGAATAAGGTCATGAGATGATTATTTCATGATCATTAATAGTTATCAAAACCACTTCATTACAATTTCGATCAACTCTTCTTGTCATAACAAATGTGCTTTACATACACAGATACAACAGCAGAGAAAAACTAACATTAAAGAGTCAAGGGTCAAGAGCCCAACTAAAGCAACCAC